CTACAGGTGTCTTCTGACCAGACTTTTTCTTGGTCAAGGAGATGGCTGATTTTGTATAGAGTAGGATATCTTTGGGCTTGGGACTATGGGTGTCTTCTGACCAAAAATACCCTACTTTATACAAGATCAGCCCTCTCCTTGACCACAGAAAATTCTGTGCTCAGGTCTACAGGTGTCTTCTGACCAGACTTTTCCTTGGTCAAGGGGATGGCTGATCTTGTATAGAGTAGGGTAGCTTTGGTCAGAAGACACCATAGATTTGAGCTCAAAGATACTGTACTCTTTACAAGATCAGCCCTCTCCTTGACCACGGAAAATGCTGTGCTCAGGTCTACAGGTGTCTTCTGACCAGACTTTTCCTTGGTCAAGGGGATGGCTGATCTTGTATAGAGTAGGGTAGCTTTGGTCAGAAGACACCATAGATTTGAGCTCAAAGATACTGTACTCTTTACAAAATCAGCCCTCTCCTTGACCACGGAAAATTCTGTGCTCAGGTCTACAGGTGTCTTCTGACCAGACTTTTCCTTGGTCAAGGGGATGGCTGATCTTTTATAGAGTACATGGGTCTATTGGTGTCTTCTTGCCAAAAACCCTATTCTATACAAGTACAACTATCTCCATAACCAAGGCAAAATCTGGTCAGAAGACACCTGTAGGCCCGAGCCCAAAGCGATCCTATGCAAGTTTAAACTTTCCCAAGTTTTCTGAAGGGTCACTGACCATGTCCTGGGTTTCTAATTATGAGCGGCAATGACAGTCCGTACGCTCTGTGCTACCCTGAGCACCGGATAAATCTCTCACAAGTATCGTGTCAGTCTTACAATATATCACTATAGACAGGTCATTTCTGAAGCGAGAGAAGGATAACTTGCAAGTCAAACATCAAACTAATAAATAATCAGCCAAGGTAATCTGCCGGTCCGAATGTTGTGCTGGCACAAGGCTGTTCCGGGAGTTAAATGATAAAATATAGCCAGGTTTTCAGCAGGTGAGAGATAGCATTCCAATTATTAACAATGTCACATCAATATAGCTGGATAACCAGTGGAATGTACTGGGAGCTGAAGCCAGGTTTCATATGAACTGCCTGCTTTATATACTGTATAAACTCGCACTTATGCTTCGGAAACACAAAAGTTTTCAAAGCCTCCTCCGGCCGGGGCAGTGTTTTCTTCAACATACATCAGCATGTTGGGGCTACTAAGGTAACATTCTAATATTCCCACCACAAGCACACATTGGGGCCAAAGCTGACTGGCTCATTATTGTGTGGAAGGAAACCTGGAAAGAGGTCTAACTGACATATTAGTTGTATTGTTGGCTTGGGTTCCTTGATTCAGTTCCCACCACAGGTACAATCTACATGGAGGTAATAGGTTAGAGCTCTTTCCAGTTGTTCAGGTTTCCTTCCACAGTGGTAAGCCAATCAGCTTTGTCCTCAATGAGTGCCTTTGACTACCTCTTATGTAGACATAGCATACAGCTTTTAAGGTGACCGCCAACAGATTAGCTTTGTTGTTTTGGAGTCCTTGATTCAGTTCCCACCCCATGTACAAAGCTAATCTGTTGGCAGTCACCTTAAAGGTTGTATGCTACATCTTCATCAGAGGTAGTCAAAAGCACACTCTAGCAGGGCTGCTGTTAAAAACCACAGGGCCCCATACAGCCAACCAGACAGGGCCAACCACCAAAAAACAACAGTTGTCTATGCTTCAGTTATGAATGAACACAGTGATCAATACCGATCACACATTGTGTTCACGCAAGGAAAGGATGAGGCTGATAAATGTGACATACTTACCGGACCCTTCCCCCACTCTCCATCCTGAAGGATCCTATTGTGTGCTTGCAGTTGCCAGCGGGAAGGAGAGGAGGGAAACTGGCAGCACTGTGGGGGTGTGGATGGAAGGGGGGGGCACCGGGAGGGTGATGGGGGCAATTACTGGAACCGATCCCCTGTATGGCTCTGTGCAGCAGCTTAAAGCCAGCAGGAGTGAGAGGAGGAGAAGACAGATTTCTGCTGCTGCAGAGAGAGCCATACAGGGGATTGGTTCCAGCAATTCCCCCCTCCGCCATGCTGATCACCCTCCCGGCCCACATCTGATTCAACCAGCTGCCTGGGCCCATACAGGAGGACTAGTGCTACCCCTTTATCCATGGCCCTGCATGCTGGTGCCAAAGTTGATTGGCTTATCATTGTGAAAGGAAACCTGAACACCTGGAAAGAGCCTAACATATCAACTGCATGTAGATTGTGCATGTGTTGGGGAATTGAATGAAGGGCCCCAAAAGCCCCAAGACCACAAAGCTAATATGTTGGCCAGCACCTTAAAGGTTGTATGCTACATGTGCATAAGTGGTTGTAAGGGATAAATGCACTCTTAGACAAAGTGGACTTATCATTTTTGCACCCAACCATCCTTGGTTCCCATTTTAAAGTACCCCACCCTACCAGAAAATGCTCAGGATGCCAACCAATAAGTCTGTTGGATCGACTACATGGTTGGGAAAGCATACAACCAAAATGATTTAAGTAGACATTGTAACTTGACTGCTTTCTACTCCAGACATGTACACTTACCCAACAAAGCTCCATCGCAGCTGCCCAACACGCAAGGAGCAGGGTTTCTGGGTATGAGGGAGCATGTGACCTCCCTTGCGTGAAACTGCTCAGGCCTGAGCATCCCAATCGCTGTTATATGGGGGTCATATGATGTCATTTGAGGCCAAAGCTTAGACTGGAGGGGATACTGCAGAGAGGGCGTCACATTCTGTTCGATGGGTTGGGTGGGGATCATGGCCTATAAGCACACACTGTTAATTTGTCTTGGTGAACAATGTGACATTGTCTCTTCAAAGGCAAGTATAACCTTTTCAGTAGAATGGAGGTGAATGTACATCTACGTCTGGGAAGGGTGGGGTACTTTTGGTCCCGGGGAAAGGGGTTAAAGTGCACTTATCCTTAAAGCCCAACTCCAGGAAGCTTAATTATTCTCTGCAGTGGGGCTGTACAGGCCGTGCACATTAAAGGCTTAGCTTCCTCTCCAGTCGAAGGTTGAGTTTTTTCACTTGGTAACTTACCTCCATTACCCCAGGCAGAGGGTGGCGCCGCACTCACTGCAGTGGTGGATTGTTCCTCAGCATCATCACGTCCAATGCAGGGCTTTAGACTCTACTTTGGTCTTGATGATGTCAGAATCTCAAACCAATGGCGCACGAGAGAGAAGCTGCTGTGGGTAGCAATCCACCAGTTCAGAGGATGGGATAACTAGATCTTCTTTTCTATGCTTCCCTAGACCCAAACGAGCAATTAACCCAAGCAGTGCAGGTGCAGCCCCACTGCTGAAGATCATTTTTTAGCTTCTCAGAATTTGAGCTTTCAGCATCTATACAAAAATGGTAATGTAGTGTTCAGTAAAAGCTGTAATTTTAAGGCCTCATGCATACAAGCTGTTTTTTCTCTATTTCCTACCCTGGATGCCTTTGCTCCAGGGGAGCAATAGGCATCATAAAAATTACCTAAAGCCAAATTTTGCAAAAACATTTAGGTGCATCAAGCGTTTGGGCGCTCATTCCTTTAGTTTAGCCAGAAAATGCAAGTGTATTTATTCTTCAACAGCTGGAGGGCCCATTGGAATGAACTCTCAATGCTTGGCATTTAGGCGTGATGGGCATTGTTTCTATCCAAATGCTCCTTGCCTGAATGCGCAACTGCTGGGGTTTTTCTACTTCTAAACTCCTAACATGGAGGGGTGTTTAGAGGTTGGAAAAAAAAAATGTCAAATGTCTCTAACAACAACATTTTTAACGCCCTGTTTGCATGAGGCCTAAATCCCCCGAGGCTTCATACTATAAAATCAATTGAGGAGCCACCTACATCCCAGTTCCCAGCTCCACATGCCTACAGCAGCCATTATTAGGGGGCCACTCCAGACCTTCAATTCTCCCATCATTCATTTTATAAAATGGAGACTACAGCTGAAGGGGGTGTGATTCCCTAATGGAAGCAGCAGGAGGCAGATCCGGGGACATTGGTCAGAGCCTGCTGTTGAAAAAAAATAACATAGCGGCGGGATAATGCAGTCCGCCCATTCCTCGACTGGTCTTGGCTCTTCACTAAATCATATACAGTGCAGGGGAGGGGACCCTTAGCCGTACATTTCATCAGCAAGTAGAACATGTTAACATGGAAGGGAAGGCAATGGACTACCTAATGAGTGACAGCGGGTGAAGATTTAACTTCGGTCTAACATTCTGTCTGTTTTCCTTGTAGAAAATCCCAATATTCCGAGGGGAACAGAAGATTCAAACGGTGAGTTGTTTAACATGTAAAGCAGACGGAGAATCAGCAAATGATGCTCCGAAGGAGACAGAAATAGATCACAGCCGGCTCCACTTTATCTGCCGCTTGTAGAGGCCAGAAATAAATTAATGACTGTTTCTATTAGCAACAGAATATAGATCAGAGAGCTGCCAGAGACAAATTGTGGCGAAGATAGGAGGCCATGTAAATGAAGTAGAATCCATAGGAAAACATTGCGGGAACACGCTGCCTCAACATCCGCGCCACACAATCATCTTATTTCTTATGTATCTCTTATTATTCCGGCCGCTGGGGAGTCAAATAAATCTGTTCGGATTCACACCAATTCTACATTTATTGAGAGAGCCGTCTGCACAAACCAATGTCAATATCCAACAAAGCGTAACAGACAATTAGGGATTCTCCTAAAATGCTTAATGATGAAAGTTAAAATAAATCTTAACAACCAAACGTAGTTCTGGCAGCTTTGTCATGTGTTGGTAAAACTGTCATCACACATCATCACAACTACTTAGCGCAGCCATTCCTCAACCTTTTTACCCCAGAGAAACCTTTAAAATAATTATCAGATCTTGGAGGAACCCTGATCAAACCAGTTCGTTGGTGGCCAGTGGGAAGAATGTCCCTTACATTGGTGGTCAGTGGAAGAATGTCCCTTACATTGGGGGGGTCAGTGGGAAGAATGTCCCTTACATTGGGGGGGTCAGTGGGAAGAATGTCCCTTACATTGGAGGTCAGTGGGAAGAATACCCCTTACATTGGAGGTCAGTGGGAAGAATACCCCTTACATTGGGGGCCAGTGGGAAGAGTGTCCCTTACATTGGGGGCCAGTGGGAAGAGTGTCCCTTACATTGGTGGCCAGTGGGAAGAATGTCCCTTACATTGGGGGCCAGTGGGAAGAATACCCCTTACATTGGTGGTCAGTGGGAAGAATGTCCCTTACATTGGGGGCCAGTGGAAGAATGTCCCTTACATTGGGGGCCAGTGGGAAGAATGTCCCTTACATTGGGGCCAGTGGGAAGAATGTCCCTTACATTGGGGGCCAGTGGGAAGAATACCCCTACATTGGGGGCCAGTGGGAAGATTGTCCCATTACATTGGTTGACCAGTGAGAATAATGTTTCTTACATTGGTGGTCAGTGGGAAGAATGCTCTTTACATTGTGGGTCAGTGGGAAGAATATCTCTTACATTGGTTAGCCAGTGAGAAGAATGTCCCTTACATTGGGGGTCAGTGGGAAAAATACCCTTTACATTGGGGGCCAGTGGGAAGAATGTCCCTTACATTGGGGGCCAGTGGGAAGAATGTCCCTTACATTGGGGCCAGTGGGGAGAATGCCCTTACATTGGGGGCCAGTGGGGAGAATGCCCCATTACATTGGCGGTCAGTTGGGAAGACTGTTCCAATGTTCAAAGGTATATTTAGCTATCCCATGGAGTTCCCCTTTTTATTAAACAGGCAGATATAGAAATACAGACATTTCCTGTAGAATAAGACATCTTTCTATAAGACACTTTTTAAGTTTAGTATTCTTTTTTTTTTTCCTGTAATTGCACTTGTGAGAAAGTTTCTGAAAATTACACCAATTAAAATATTCATCTCAGTAACATAATTTGTGAGAATTTGCCGCATCAATTAGATGCTGGAATCGGTCATATGTGGAATAGAAGTATTTTAGCGCACGGAATCGTTATGTAACCGAGTCTAAGTATGGATGCGGCGTGTACACCTGCTAGGAGCCAAGAGACTGTGGTAGGCCGGCGTACCACATATGATGTGAGATGAAGGACCATTTAATGCCATATAATAATTATCATGTTAAAGCAGCACTAAAAAAAAAAGCTCTTGGCTTTCTCCAAATTCTTTTTTTTTTTTTTTTTTTGCTGCTGTGATCCTGTTAGAGCAGTGATGGGCAACTTGAAGATAAAATTCCTCCAGTGTGGCCCCCAACACTTCCAGAGAGCTGCACAATAGCAGCAAATTGTCATGCATTGAGGTGCATTGCATGAAGTGAAGCAGTCCAATCAAAATGAATGAGCTATAGGCAACTCAAAATCCAAAAACATGGTCTTATTTTTTAGTTTTATTAACCACCCCCCACTGGTGAGCATTGGTAGTGAGTTAAATCACCTTCCATTTGTGGTCAGTGGCAGGGAGTTAAATCACTTCCTATTGGTGGTCAGTGGCAGTCAGTTGGACCCCCACCCCATTGGTGGTCAATGGCAATGTGTTAAACCGCCTCCGATTGATGGTCAGTGGTACTGAGTTAACCTCCCACTGGTGGTCAGTGGCAGTGAGTTAAACCACTTCCCATTGGTGGTCAGTGGCGGTCAGTTGGACCACCCCCCCCCATTGGTGGTCAATGGCAATGTGTTAAACCGCCTCCCATTGATGGTCAGTGGCACTGAGTTAACCTCCCATTGGTGGTCAGTGGGTGATAACCTTGCCCACAGTGCAGTCTTTCTTTCAGTGCAAGATGCTGGTGTATAGACAGGATTCTAGCACTTGGCAATCCACTGCCACTCTAGCCTAACTGGTGCCCAATAGCTGACAACCTGCATGCAGAGGGCCAGTTAGGCTTCAGGGAGCTTGAGGGTGGCTATTTAGGCCCATAGCCACCTTCTGTTGCTCTCTCCTGAGATGGACTATGGACCATGTGATGTGTAGTATGCATAGAGCAGTGCACATGACTGTATTCCACCTTCATTGCTCATTCCAAATGGCAACGAGGGGCAAAAGACGAGGTTCTGAAACTCATGGAGGACATTACAAGGAGGCAAAAAAAACCACAAGAATCAATTCCATGAAAAATATATCACATGGTTATTAAGTCGTGGATGTGTATGGATGATTTCCAGAGAATACGGATATTTGTTTAGCATCACTTTAACATATATGCACTATGGTGAATGTGACTTTTTGGTGTCCACCTTGCCAAGTTGTGTCCTATCCTCTCTCTCTTTCCTCTCGTTCCAGGTTCTGTCCCGGTGTACAGCTACTCCAGACTCTTACTGGTGCTCATATTAATGACAGTGATCCTGGAACTCACGTGAAATTAGGATGCTTGCCTAACCCTCCCTTTCCCCCTTCCAAAAGACTCCACACAAAGCATTACACTTCAATTTTTATTTTCTATACTAGCTCCAGTCTTGTTATCGGTTGGTTTCTGTCTGTGTTTTAGCTTCCTTGAGCTGATAAATTAAAAAAAACAAAATCTCTCCTTATTAATATCTGTCGTTTTTTTAGTCCTGGATCATTGGGGATGTACACATTACGGTTTTCTGTGCGGGAACCGCGCCTAGAGATGGACCTCCGGTGACTGTGAGCGGAGTCCTGGTATTTTTTTTTTTTTTTTAACATTGACCGTATGAAGTGGACCTCTTCCTGCAACTGTGAAGGTCTCCTGGTCATAGGGTCCTCAACAAAGGATACAGTCACCTAAATTGCTGTTCACAGATGGATTTCCACCACTGGAGCCCGTTGATGCACCACTATCAGCACCCCCTTGTGCACAGAGAGCATTTTCTTGTTTTATTGGCCCTCAACCTGACTTGGAATATTGTGATAAGGGAATATATGACTGTTATTGTACTGAAGACTGGAGAGAAGATGTAGCACGATAGGGAAAGTCGCCTCTCTTCCCTCTACGCCTATAGGCAATAGTAAATCCAACCCTGACTGCAAAGGAAAAAAAAGTAGTGTGTGTGTACCTTCCAGATTCTCCCAATTGGGGTATGTGTACTCAAAGGGGTATTCCTGGACGGGTAGCAGTGATTACTTCTACCTGCTAAAGAAAATTCTAAATAAAAGTTTACCAAATAATAAATTTTATGTAAAAACAATTCAGACTATGTATTTCAGTTATTGATTGTAAGGCGATGATGTGCATCACAGGTCTGATGGCCTATTCACACTGCCTCCAGGTCTTATGTATGTTTTCTAGGCTCCTAATGCAAAGAACACAAGTAATAAAAGTGTAGAACCGGGACAAGGGAGGGGCAGAGGGACCAGCTGCCCTGGGACATTTATGCAAAGTATGCATGAACCCTAATAGAGGGGGAACCCTCCAATGGGGACACTAGTTCTGGTGATTCCCTCACTTTGGAGAGATTTCCTCTTACTTCTGGTTTTGGTTATGGGACCAAAAGTGGTGGGAAGTCCCTCCCAATGGTATGCAGAGGGTAAAACAAATACTTGATGGGGTTATAACCATTCCTTACTCTTTCCAAGATAAAAAAAAAAATGTTTTGCCTTTTGTTCTACTTTAACCCATCCCTCACATTTTATCCCCGAATCGAAATAATTTAACCTGTAAACCTTTTACTAAGGCCAGCCTAACCCCAAAAAACTAACATCACCTATTAGGTACTGGTCCAATACTTACCTTGTACTAAAAGTATCAGCACCCAAAGCTAACCTTCCCCAACCCCAAGACATTTCTGCATCCAAATAGTATCCAAAAAACAATGACATAAATGTAGGTTCGATTAATTAAAAAAGGATATGATGTCTACTTGAATTTTCCAGAATATAACTAAATGTTATAGGTTGCTATGGGCATCAGACCTACTTTTATGGTCTAAACACAGCAAGGTGTTTGATATACTTGATATATACTGTGTCTATTTCCAATATACACTCACCGGCCACTTTGATAGGTACACCTGTTCAGTTGCTTGGTAACACAAGTTTCTAATCAGCCAATCACATGGCAGCAACTCAATGAATTTCGCAACTAGACTTGGTGAAGACAACTTGCTTACGTTCAAAGCGAGCATCAGAAAGGGGATTTAAATGACTTTGAACTTGGAATGTTTGTAGGTGCCAGACGGGCTGGTCTGAGTATTTCAAAAACTGCTGATCTACTGGGATTTTCACGCACACAACCATCTAGGGTCCGAAAAAGAGAAAATATCCAGTGAGCGGCAGTTGTGTGGAGGAATATTCCTTGTTGATGTCAGAAGAGAATGGGCAGACTGGTCCGAAATGATAGAAGGGCAACAGTAACTCAAATCACCACTCGTTACAACCAATATATGCAGAATGCCATTTCTGAAGGCACAACACATCCAACCTTGAAGCAGATGGGCTACAGCAGCAGAAGACCACGGGTGCCACTCCTGTCAGCTAAGAACAAGAAACGGAGGCTACAATTCCCACAGGCTCACCAAAATTGGGCAATAGAAGAATGGAAAAACGGTGCCTGGTCTGATGAGTCTGGATTGCAACTGGAGTCTGGACCCAACATTCAGATGGTAGGGTCAGAATTTGGTATAAACAACATGAAAGCATGGATCCATCCTGCCTTGTATCAATGGTTCAGGCTGGTGGTAGTGGTGTCATGGTGTGGTGGATCCATCCTGCCTTGTATCAATGATTCAGGCTGGTGGTAGGGGTGTCATGATGTGGTGGATCCATCCTGCCTTGTATCACCGGTTCAGGCTGGTGGTGGTGGTGTCATGGTGTGGTGGATCCATCCTGCCTTGTATCAATGATTCAGGCTGTGTGGTGGTGGTGGTGGTGGTGGTGTCATGGTGTGGTGGGGTGGATCCATCCTGCCTTGTATCAATGGTTCAGGCTGGTGGTGGTGGTGTCATGGTGTGGTGGATCCATCCTGCCTTGTATCAATGATTCAGGCTGGTGGTGGTGGTGGTGGTGGTGTCATGGTGGTGGTGGATCCATCCTGCCTTGTATCAATGGTTCAGGCTGGTGGTGGTGGTGTCATGGTGTGGTGGTGGATCCATCCTGCCTTGTATCAATTTACATTCAGGCTGGTGGTGGTGGTGGTGTCATGGTGTGGTGGATCCATCCTGCCTTGTATCAATGGTTCAGGCTGGTGGTGGTGTCATGATGGGTGGATCCATCCTGCCTTGTATCAATGGTTCATGGATGTGCAGCCGACAAATCTGCAGAAACTGTTCAATGTGATTCTATCATGTCAATATGGACCAAAATCTCGGTTTCCAATACCTTGTTGAATCTGTGCCACAAAGAATGAAGGCAAAAGTGGATCCAACCCGGGACTAGCAAGGTGTACCCAATAAAGTGGCCGGTGAGTGTAGGTTCCCCATACTAAATTTTGATACCTGGTTATAGATTTTACATTGCTGTAAATGAGCCTATGGACATTTGTGTGGCAATTCTGAAAGTATTTCACTATCTTTTGACTAAGGAAACAATTACATGGAAATCGGTGTTCCGCATAATCTACTGCCTAGGGTTTCCATCATGTCTTGGTAACCAAATGACTAAACTTAGAGTGGAAATTGTTCGATTTTCAGCTGCTATTACAAAGGTTTTGGTCAATGTTCATCTCAAATTGATAGATCGTTAAAAAAACCTGGAGCCAGTATAATGGTGGGTCACAGATTTCTACAGATTGTTCAATTGTTTCTTTTTTGA